ATTTTATTCTTTTTTACAGCTGAGTAGTATTCTATAGTCTATATATACCATAATTTCTTTAACCAGTCTTCAGTTGATGGACATCTGGGTTGATTCTATGTCTTAGCTCTTGTAACTTGAGCTGCAATAAACAATGGGGTACAGCTAACTCTTTCATATGCTGATTTCATTTCTCTTGGGTAAATTCCCAAGAGTAGGATTGCTGGGCCATATGGTATATCTATTTTCAGCTTTCTGAGGAATCTCCATACTGTCTTCCACAATGGCTGTACTAGTTTACATTGCCACCAACAGTATATTAGGGTACCTTTTTCCCCACATCCTTGCCAGCATTTATTGTTTATTTTATATAAGAGTCATTTTTCCTGGGGTGAGGTAAAACCTCACTGTGGTTTTGATTTTTGTTTCCCTGATGGCTAGTGATCTTGGGCATTTTTTTCACGTATCTGTTGGCCATTTGACTTTCCTCTTTTGAAAAATGGCTTTTCAAGTCCTCAGCATACCCCACATTAACAGAGTCCTTGAAGGCAGTACAGAAATGAGTAGCTGGCAGTGGCATGCTTGGCACAAGGTCAAGCAGCAGAAAAGATGCTTGTGAGCAGGCCGCACTTTCAGCCTTGTCATTGACTGCTTATGCACAAAGGGGTACATGGCGGAATCCTGGCAAACAAATATGTAGGCAGCTGCAGTGAGCGGAGCTGAGGTAGAGGCTGAGCAGAATGTGTACGATATCAGCACAATGTCAATCAGGGCAAGTGAAGAAAAGAATCCTATCACAGAAGCTTCTGGTTTGCAGTTATCAGGAAAAAGCTTCGAGCAAAGATATTCTGAGTCCCAAGAAACAAAAAGACAAACCTAACACAGTGAATGCATAGGTACTCAGTAAAAGGCAGGCGTTCTTGCACAGGAATTTTAAATGAATAGAAAAATCAGTCTTATCATAACCAGTATGGGAATAATACCCATGAAAATAAAGGGAAAGTATACACTTTGATTGACCCTTTGGGAGAACTAAATATTTAAAAGATCTACTTAATATCTTTGTTCTGACTATAAGTAAGAGTTTAATATTTTTTTCATTTTACACTCTTAACAGTGAAAGTGAATTTAAGGTTTTTTTTTTTTGTTTCAGATTTATATATTTATTTCAAAGTCAGAGTTACAGAGAGAGAGAGAGAGAGAGAGAATCTTCTATCCACTGGTTTATTCCCTAAATGACCGCAACATCCAGGGCAGGATCCAGGAGCTTCATCAAGGTCTCCCACACAGGTGCAGGGACACAAGCACTTGGACTATCTTCTACTGCTTTCCCAGGTGCATTAGCAAGGAGCTGTGTCTGAGAGTGGAGCAACCAGGACTCAAACCAGTGTCCATATTGAATGCCAGCATTGCAGGTGGAAATTATTTCCTGCTATGACACAATGCTGGCCATATCCGTTTGTTTAAATCAGAACATAAGACTGTATTCTGGCAACCAGTGGTTTGTGCGATTACTTTACCTACCTCTATTTTTCCCATTACAGGATCAGGCTGGACCACTCCAGGATTATGTCTCAGTCTCATTTAAGCAAGATAATTTTCTTCTGTAAAGATTTCTCAGGGAGTAGATTGTATATATTATCATATTACAGTTATGAATCACTATGATGGTAATGTGTTCTGAGGGATGCATCATTGGGTTAGTTCATCATTGTGCAAACATCATGGAATGTACTTAAACTAAGACAGCTAAAACTGGCTATATCATCTTAGGGGACCACTGTCATATATCCAGGTCACTGCTATGCAGCATACTACTCTGTTTACAGAGGGATAATGTGTGACATATTTATATTTCATATATCATATAATATTTGTTCTACCTCACAGGTTAAAAAATGCAGATAAAATTTGGCTGAATTATCACCAATATCACCTGAAAGGCGTAATTAAGAGTGAAGTACAGGGATCCACCTTGACGTGACTACAAACATCTTACCTTTTACACGACCCTGACAGTTATCTCAAATCCTGTGAGATGAAGTAAGTTATTCAGATGACCTATATCTCTTATCTGATGCCTGGAATGTTGCTATTTCTTGAGAAAGTTCAGCTGCCTTCCAGTTAGCCATGGATCACCTTTGTATATAAAACCCTTTTGTCCTGCCTCCAAGGTACAGGGAGCCTTCTGACCTGTGAAGCCCAAGACTATGCTTCTGTCCATAAATCCATGAGAAATTACATTCTGTGTGGTATTGGGCTTGCTGGTTTCCTTCTTTGGTCTCATTTTACTTTCTCCTTTATAGTTTTTTGACATTTGGTTTTCCAAAACAGTGAGGAAAAACTGAAAGGTTATACCCTGGTTAAGCAAGGGTATCTAAATACATTTTAAACTTTGAAAAAAGATTTTTTAAATACCATAGACTTCTGAAATATCTGGGTTTTGGTCTTACTTTGTACTTCTATTAGTAAGAACAAAAAGGAGGAAGGAAGGGAGAGAAACAGAATAATCAACACTAACACATCAGAAGAAAAGAAAGTCTACAAAACTTTTAAAGATTCAAGATCAAGAGCATATGTAGAGATTAGAGTTGGGGTTAATTGGAAAAAATTTTTGTTTTAAAAATTCATATATGCTGCCACTTTGCAATTTATGTTCATGATTGGCTGCACCTCAAAGGTACCCCTTTGAGTTTACGTGATCAAAGCTCAGTTTCAACCTCAGATCATTTCATTGTGCTATGCCATTGCAGATAGATTTCTATGTAAAATTTATCACTTTGTGGAGTAAAAAATACATCTGTATGTGTATGTGTAGATTGTGTCATTCACTTACTTATTCTTCCATTCAATATTTATTGAATCCCTATGATGTTCCAGGAACACTTCTAAGTGCTTGGGAAGCAACGATGAACAAGACAAGTCCTCTAACACATGGTGCTTACCTGCTATTGAAGAGACATTAAAGAAAAAAAGGAAACACATAGTAATATGTCAGAATCTGAAAATTTCTGCTAACTTTAAAATCTTTGTGAAATATAAGATATAGGCCTGGATTGTGGCACAGCAATTGAATTCACTGCTTGTGATGCCAGTTACTCCCATATCAGAATGCCACTTTGAGTCTCAGCTGCTCCTCTTAGAATCTAGATTCTTGTTAATGTGCCTTGGAAGGCAGTGGAAGACTACCAAATATTCAGGCCCTTGTTACCCATGTGGGAGACCAGGTAGAGTACTAAGCTTCTGGGTTTGGTCTGTCCCAGCCCCAGTCATTGCAGCCATTTGGGGAGTGTGCCAGCAGATGGAAGATCTCTCTCCCTCTTTCTCTGTCATTCTGCCTTTCAAATAACAAGTATTTTAAAAAAGAAATATAAAACAGAAAGATTGCTTTAAAATATTTCACAAGTTTCTGTCTTTTTTGGTAAAAGTAGAAACTTTGGAAAAACACAAGGAAGAAAACTGAATCATTTTGGCAAAAGGACAGTCCTTGTTTTCTTACCATACTATCTTATGATCTTAGCAATGTGGAAATTGGGGGAGAAATGAAAGCTTTATTTGATGTCTTGTTTTTCTTCATTTACCATTTTGCAAGCATTTCTTTTTATCTTTAGTCTTTGAAAATATGTTTTTAATGGCTGAAAACATTGCAGCCTATATGCAAAAATGTAATGCTTTGATTACTTTTTGAGAGTTTCTATGAACATAAGTTGAATTTATATTCATAAATCTTTTTCTACATATCTCAATAAATAACCAGCATAAGTTGCTAGAAGTAGAATTACTGGTTCTAAATAACATGTATTTTATGACATGATGAATGTTGTGAAATTGGTTTGTATAAGGATTATACTTTCGGTGCCAACACTTTGGGATATGCTGCTGCCTGCAGTGCTGGCATCCTATATGGGCATGGATTCGAGCCCTGTCTGCTCCACTTCTGATCCAGCTCTCTGCAATGGTCTGGGAAAGCAGTAGAAGATGACCCAAGTCCTTGTACTATCTTTAAATTTTATTTTATTTTAAAAATGTATTCATCTGGGATACAGAGAGACACAGGGAAAGAACTAAATCTAGAGATAGAGCTAGAGATAGAAAGATCCCTTCTGCTGGTTCACTCCCCAAAGGCCTCCAATGACCACAGTGGATAAAGTTGGGAGCCAGGACCTCAGCCCATATCTCCCATAAATGGTAGATGTATGACTATTTGAGTCATCACCTGCTGCCTCATAAGGTATGCATTGACTGGAAGTTGGAATGGAGAGCAGGAGCTAGGAATTAAACCCAGGCACTCTGATACGGGATGTGGGATTCTTAACTAAATGCTTGCTCCTCAGGGCTGTTTTGAGCTACATATTTCTGTTTGCTGGTGAGGTTGATTTTTTTTTTACAAATGTGTTTACTATATTTTCCTCTTTCTCTGTGAATTCTGTTATTTGCCCTTTCTCTTATTTTTATGAATCTATTAATGTTTTTCTATTGATTTATGAGATTTTATATATAGAAATATATTTGTTTCTTTTTTCTAAGAGGTAATTTATATTTACATATTTTGATGTATTGACAGAGATAGGTTTTTATCCACTCAAATTTCTTGATATTTTTTGATTTCTTCTACTCCTCTTGTACTCAGAAAACTTTCCCTGAGATAAATAACATATTTATTATGTTAAAATTTTTTTAATTTTAATTTTTTATTAAGCGATGTGTATTTTTTTATGAGACATTACTTTGAGCCTCTTTAGAAAGTTCATTTTCTTAACGCGACTTATTAATAAAGTAATACATCTTTCCTCCTGTATTTCTGGATACTTTCTTACCTGTCAGACTTACACACACACAGATCATTTCAGAGGTTTGATTAAGACGTTCTGCTTTAATATCGTTTGGGGACTGCAGGTTCTGGTACTTTTTGTTCCAGATGTTAGCAAAATCAACCATGATTCTCGGTACTATCTTGATGGAATGTGGGAGAGCAACGTACGGAGGCATTTAGGACCCAGGGGAAAGCCAGGCTGGTTATAGAAGGACAGAGTCTCCGGCGCACACGCCTCCTACCAAAATCCCAGCCCCGTGGAGCCCAGGCTCTCATTCACAGCTTTCTAGAGAAATCTGAGCAGCCAACTGCCAGAATAGGGGATCTCACCCACCCAGTTCAGCACCGAGGACACCTGCAGGAACATATTCCCAAAGCAAGGCTGGGCGACCGTGTGAAGGTATTTGTTGCTTTTTTTCTCCGTTCTGTGTTTGCAGCGCCTCCCCGCCTTTCCCCACTCTGGCGGAGCCATGGCTGCGGCGTTTCAGCACTTGGGTTCGCGGACAGCTCCCATCTGCAATCCCTCCGCACTCCATCCCTCGCTCGCCCCACGCCACCGCCCCCGCGGTCCATCCTCCTGCCGGTGCCCGCTCAGCCTGCGCTCCCTCGTTCCATCTCACCCCATCTCCACCATCACCGTCGTCATCTCCACCATCACCAGCCGGTGCGGTAACTCCAGTCCACACAACTGTGTCTTGTCACTTAGACAAAGCCCGAGGTCCGCAGGGTGGAGTGTAAGAGCTCAAGTTTACAGGCATGGGAAGGAAAGTTCAGGGGAATGACACCCCTGAAAACAAAGAGACGCCTGCCTGGGAGAAAGGGAAAGTGAAGGCAGGATGGAGAGACCCCGGGCTCAGGGACAGATGGGGCAGTCACCAGACACCAGCAGTTAGCCAGCTGCCTTTCAGCTGATTACCGACTGTTTAGTTCAGGAAATTAACATGGCCTGAGGCAAGTGTGATTCCAGAAAAACAGAAATGCAAGCTCAACCCGTGTTTCTGGTTTTCCAATGGAGAATCACCAGGAAGCAGGGTGGGGGTGACGGGTGACTCATATTCACCCACACGTCCGTTTTTCTTCCTAAGCGTTGACTATAGAAACTCTGGCATTAAGTTTTTTAGTGAAATGTTTTGTAAAATGGGGACCCCGAAGGTTAACTCTGCTATCAGAAGGAAAATTAAAAAGATGATAGTGATAAAAATCCAACCAGTGGGGTCCTCATTGGAAAGTGCTGTTTGTTCAGATGTCTCTTCCTGCTTACTTATTTCATGTCCATCTTAAATCTCTTTTACAAACAGAGAAGAAAGGTCTCCTGTCCAAATGGTCAAAGTAGTAATGCTGTTCGCAGCAGATGGCCTGGCTTTGTTCGTCTCTAGTCAAGGACTGGCTTGGATACGGGAGGCGAGATTTTTGTGTGCTTTCTCAGTAATCAGGCAGGCGATAACACCATTTTTCTATAATAGTAAGGGGTAATAGAGTGCAAAAATTAAAAAGGCATTTTATGTAACTGTGTTTTGCCAGGCTCTGCTCTTAACAGTGCTATCATTTTCAATCTCAGTTGGGGGGAAGTTGGAACATCTTTCAAATACCTGATTAATTTGAACTTGAAAGTCCAAACCCAAGTCACAGCACCTATTTGATTTTACCCAGAATCATCTAACCATCTGTAATTTAAGAGCTAACAAACACCATAAAATAAGTGCCTGAGTCTGCCATAAATTCAAGTCTTTTGATGCATATGCATTTAATTGATTTTTTTATTGAGTGGCAAGTGAGCGGAGGTTTTTTTTTTTTTTTTGTAAACTGTTTTTCATAAATTCAAAATCTGAACAAAAAATGAGCTTTATTTAAAAGAGAATAATGCTGGCTCATGTGTAACAAGAAACTTTAAATAAGAGCACAGAAAAAACTTCATTTAAAAATTGCCCTGATACACTTATTCTGCTTCTTAAGAAAGAGACAGTGAAGTGTGTTTTGTCTATACTAGCTTGCTCGTCATTACAGGCATTGCCAGATATATAGTCACGAAAGGTGTTTTCTGGAAGAAGTTTTCTGGGAAATTCACACTTAATACTCCTTGTGAATGAGGCATAGAGGCATTGTGTCAAAAGTTACCAACTGTTACTAATTACATAAACATAAGTAATTCCTTCTGCCTCTAAAATTCACTCATTTTAGAACTCAAGTCAAAAACTCATGAAAATACTTGATGATATGGATTTTTGAAAAAATTAACATGTGGTCATCCATACACTGTCATTAGGTTAGTGATTTACACAGTAGACAAGTGCTCTCGAGCCACTGAGCAGGATACCTAAAACTCCCTTATCCATAAAGAATGGTTCAGCCCAGTTTAAAAAGTGTACATATTGCCAGCTCTGGCTGCTTCATACCAGATACTCAGGCCAGAAATTCAGTTCCTCCCATGCTGCTGTCTTCCTGTGCTTAATACAATTTCCTGAAGCAGAGGAAATTTTAAAACAGTGTTGCTTTGATGAGATTTATAGGCATCTGTCTCAGAAGTGATGCCTTTCCTTGACTGAAATATTGGGCCGAGTTTATTAATTTTTATTGTGTGCCACTGTGCTGGCTTCCCCACTTTCTTTTTCTATTAAGTGCTATTTAACTTACTTCATATTTTCAATAATAGAACTTTCTCATTTCTATAGTGAATTTAAAGGTGAATAGAAAACAGTTTTCTGCAGAATTCTATCCTGCACTTTTCAAGATGTGGTCATAGAATGGTGCATGTTTTAGGATCATACTACAAAGCTGGAAGATCCTTCTTTGCCCAGCAAGTGAAATCCTGAACTCTTAGAACTGGTGATGTCTCCTCACATCTGCTGGCTTTTTCGAAAGAGATGTCTGTTATCTCATAAGTCTATTTACAACTTGACATACACCCTTGTAGCAAAGCCATCCTTAGTAAATTGACTTGGATTGGCTTCGAGCTTCTCTGCTGCTCCTGTTGTACAATGACTCAGGAGATAACATAGCAGAATGAGTATATAAAATAGGAACTTTGCATGCACTTGGTCCAGAAATATCCCCCAATATTGACCAGGGAAATCTTCTCCCTGTTTACATCCTTCTACAAAATATCATTTTGATTATTGTTCATTTGATCTAAATTTAAAAGATTAAAATTGTTTTAGGAGTAGGGCCATAGTGTGCATTACTACATCTATAGTTACTAGTGACAACCTCAAGTGTTCTCTTTCTAGAGAATTTATGCTTAATTTCCAACCGAATTTTTTCTTTGCTTAAGGAAAGTTTATGTTCTCTTACTTGATACTTCATGGATGTGAAAATATACTGGGCAAACACATCCTCCCCCAAAACACCCCGTATAAAACCCTTCATTTACTTAGACAATAAGTCCATTATTCTTTCCTAACTCTGCTTCCTTGCATGGCCCTTCCATGTTTTGTTTTTGATCTTTCTCTTTATGAACCAGTTCTGTGACAGGGAGTATCAGAGAAAGTATCTTGTGTTATTTCTTGTGAGCTTTTCTTCTTCCTGAATTCTGAGCCAGTAAGAATTTCCCTGTATATGTTTCAGATCATATGCTCTTGAGTCTTGGATGTTTTTAGCCAAATCTCCAATTCCTGGACACTGTAGATACCACTGACCATCTCTTTTCTAGCTCCGTTCCTTAAAATAGCACTGTTTCAATTCAGCTGCTGTTACTGCCCAAAGGTTTTATTTAAAGTTCCATGCTTTTATGTGTGTCACATGGCTTATTCAGCGTTCATCCTTTTATTAGTTTTAGAGGAAGTAGGAGGGAAATGGTAGGCCTGGGAATAGGAGTTGTGGAAGGGCTCAAACAATGGGCTCTAAAAGTAAAAGACTTCTTTATATATGGCCAAAATAAAACAAAATATAAACAAACATGAGATTTCTCTCTCTCTCTCTCTCCCTCCCTCCCCCCTCCCCCCTCCTTCCTTCCCTCCTTCCCTCCTTCCCTCCTTCCCTCCTTCCTCCACTTCATTTGTAGAGCACACAAACCTGTGTGAGAGTAATTAATGCGAGGTATGGCAAACTACTATGGATGTAATCGCTTCAGGAGGAATTAACACATTCTTGGAAATTTTATTCTCCTCTTGGACAATGTAGTCCAAAGACAATGGGAGCTCTGACTTCAGGTGCAAATGCAATGCACCTACCTTCCCAGTGCCTTCTAGTCATAGCAGACCTTCTAGGTCAGTGCTTCTCTAACATTAATGTGGGTGTGAGTTGCCTGGGGATCCTGTTAACATTGAGTAGGTGTGGGTGGGTGCTGACATTCTGTCTTCCCCACAAGCTCCTAGATGGTGCTGATGCTGCCATCCTCTGAGAAGCAAGAACCCAGTATAGTCTCCTTTTTTAGCATTCCCACTTTTAGGTTTGGTTATTAAATAATAGCACTCACTCTAGAGCAAAACAAAGACTACCCCACTTTCTGGGCAATAAGAACTCAGAAATCATATTTCTAATTGAGAAGAAAGTTACGTAAAGAGTTCCTTTACTCCTACCTCACCCAAAAGCACCAAGTCATGTTCCACTTTCACCAGGCAGTTTTCTTAATTCTGGTATCTTCTGCTTAATCACATAGAAAAGAAGGGTCCAAGTTGTGTACCTGTGTTAGGGAAACATGGAACACAAAAGGGGGCAGGTAGACTTAATGATCATCTTTAGGAGTCTTGCCTTTCTTATCTCTCTGCAGATCCTTCTCTTTAAAAAGTGTCCATTCTTAGAGAAACTGATTTCCTTTGCCAACTGAAGAAAGTATCAAATGTCAAGTGTATCTTATTGATACTCCTAAGAAGCATAACTAATTTGTTTTTAAAGTTGGGACTTGGACTGCCAGTGATTTCTTTTTTAAAAAATTATTTTATTTATTTATTTGAGAGGTAGAGTTACAGACAGAGAGGGTGAGACAGAGAAAGGTCTTCCATCCTCTGGTTCTCTTCCCAAATGGCTATAATTGCTGGAGCTGAGCTAATCCAAAGCCAGGAGTCAGAAGCTTCTTCCAGGTCTTCCACATGGGTACAGGGACCCATGCACTTGGATCATCTTCTACTGCTTTCCCAGGCCATAGCAGAGAGCTGGATCAGAAGAGAAGCAGCCAGGACTCGAACCAGCATCCATATGGAATGCCAACACTGCAGGGAGTGGCTTGGTACACAATGCCACAGTGCCAGTCCATGCCAGTGATTTCTTATGGGAATAGTTTAATAGAAGAGGAAGACATTCCAATTTAATTTCTATGTCTTTATAAGTTTTCTTTGCAGATTATCCCTATTTAAAATACATTGAAATTATCACACTGTATCCCCACAACTGTGTATGATTAAAATAATAATATTAAAATAAAATAAACACATATAGAATGCAAAATAAACATCATGCTGATCAAAA